TACATGGAAACAAAGTTCCAACTCTGTCAGCTGATGGATATTGGTCCCTAACATACTTTTGCATGTTTAGAGCAGTTCTTCTCAAGGTATGGTCCAGAGACCAGGAGCAGCTCCCGAAACTTGTATGAATGCAATTCTCAGTCCTTACCGCAGACCTAGTGAGTCACAGACTCTAGGGTGGGGCCCAGCAATATGTTTGAACAGACCCTGTAGGAGACTCTAATCCTGCTAAAATTTGAGACCCACTGATTGGGAAAAGTGTTCTTAACACTGGCTGGGCACTGAAATCACGTGGGGAGCTTTAAAAGGCCAGTTACTTGGTTGCCTCCTACAGAATCTCGTTTACTGATTTGGGGTACAGCCTGGACATCAGGATTCTTCAGAGCTCCCCAGGGGATTTTCAGATGCATCCAAGGTTGGTAACTGCTGTTCTAGGAAGCCTGTTGTAACACCCATACACTCCTTTCTCCTGGGTGGGGAGGTGAGGAGTGGGAGGCATGTGTCATTTGACTGAACTCCCAAGCGATCTGCTACAACCATCAAATCTTACTTCCCCTTGGAGAACATGACCTTAAACTACCAGCTTCAAGAAATATCCCTGATAGGGCTTTTTGTAGACTGAGTAAATATTCTCTCAATGCAGTTTGTTTAAAAGGTTGCTTTTAATGCTATATTTGTTCAGCAAATGTAGGCACTTATACAGCACAGATATTAACTCCTAAATCCGCAAAGGCTTTCCCCACGATATGCCATCTGGCAAGCATTATTGTAATCATCTCTTTATTATCCACTCTAATGAAGGACTAGCATGGCATTGGTAATTGAAAAACACAGCTCATTTAAAATCATTCAGGCTAGTGCTGGCACTGCTTCCCCATCCAGGAAGCATTGAAGAGTAGAAAATATTGACTGATTACAGTTTCCTGCCCTCCTTGTGGAGGTGCTGATACATTTTATTTTAGTTAGAAATCTGAGCGATAAGAGGTGTGAGAGGCTTCTAAATTATAATTACTTTTTCTGAATTACAAGAGTCTGCTTTCTTGATGAGAGGCCAAAGCACAAAGCAGATAAGTAGCAAGTATATTTAAAATGCATTTGCACCTTGGAACCAGTGCGTTCAAAGCATGGTGTAGGTGAAGCTGAGTGGGATTCTAGGGATCAGTGGGTCAGAGTCTATATCTTATTCTGATGCTCCCTGTATTACTTGGAACGAGCCATTCAGGCCACCAGTGGGTCTCAAAGTGTGGTCCTCAACCAGCAGCATCTGCATCACTTGGGAATTTGTTAGAGATGCAGATTCTCAGCCCCTACCCCAACCCTTCTGAATCAGACTTTGGGATGAGACCAACAATTGGTGCTTTAACAAGCCCTCCAGGAGATTCAGACACCTACTCAAATCTGAGCAGCACTGTTCTCCACCAGGTGTTCAATTTTCTTATCTATAAAATAAGGCAACCAGCCTAGATTACATTTGAGGTCCACTCCAGCAATCTAATGCCACGGGTGTGTGGGCCTGAAACAGATTGAAACATTCTCTTAAATCTGCAACCACACATCCAATATCTAACAGATTGGTACCTTTAGCTGGTTGATGCCATTTTCCAAAAGTGGAAACCCTGGTGCTCGGGGAAGGGCAGCAGCAGCTACCCCTTTCTCCAGGGGCTGAGAGCTGTCTGATGTGATTCAGGGGCAGCACTTCTGCAGGAACTAACAAATGGCATTCCAGAAGGATGTACAGAGGTACACAGCTTTTGCAGTAAAACAAGGGAAAATTTCAAGCCATTTATCAAAGCTCTTGCAGCTTCCACTTCAAGACAGGTGGAAAAAAATAGCAGGGAACAAGAAAAGAAAAGAAATCTGTATCCAGAGCATCTCATAAATAAGAAAGGAGTGGGGGAACTGTTGGCCTTGTCGGGTTTTCAGAGTATTTTTGTCACAGTATAGAAAGCTTTCAAATGTTTCAGCTTGTAATTCTTACACTCTTTCCATTATCAAGAATCTGTGGTTGTAAAATCACTTCACTGGCTATTAAAACCAAAAGAGGAAAAAGGAACCAATCATTTCAAGGAGTGAGATGCTGCAAAATGATATACCTGGAGTTCAAGAACAAGAGAGAAAAATAAAAACATAGTTTAGCCACAACGACAAAATACTTTTTTTCATCTAAAATGCAGTGATGCTTCATAATTGAGGGCAAGTCATAGAAAATCAAAGGCAATTTACAAACTGGCTTTTGTTTAGTAAGAATGTACTTTTTGAAGACAGTCAGACATGGTTTATTGAACATGAGAGAGACTTTGGTCTGTTATGGCTGGGAAGGATGGAGAAATCACAGGTTTTATTTTAAAAAGGATGGATCATAGGCCCATGTTGTCTGAGTGAATGATGTTGATTGAGGAGAACCACAACATTGGAGGACCTGCCTTGGAAATCTTTCTGAAATTCCCAGAGGGTCAGGTTGATCAACAGCTTGATACCAAAGTCCTGGTTAAAAGCTTGTACTCTGAGTTCATATTCTGGCTCTGCCACATCCTGGTTCAGAAAGTTTGGACAAGCCACCCTGATGCTCAGTGCCTTAGTTTCCTTTTCTGTCAAAGGAGAATAATAGAACCTGCTTTATGGGAGTTTTATGCAGATTTAGAATTAGCATATGCAAGATGTTTTGTGTCATGCCTGGCACATAGCAGGCATTATTTTATTGGGGTTATTTGCTAAGTAGCTGTATGGTTCTTCAAAAGAACACTAAAAATAGTTTCTGAACTGTAAGACCTTTTGAAAACCTTTCTGAACTGCGCCCTAGTTGATAACCCCAATGTGTGCCTAAGGCAGGGTGTGATTGACGGAAGGAGGCTTTGAGGAGGTCCTGGGAGCACAGTTCAAACAAGACTGATGACTCATGAGCCATGGGGACTTTCTCCCTGGTTAACTTCGCTAACACATGGCTTTGGCAGGGTTGTTCAAACCTGATTCAGAGAAACTAATTTTTGTCATTTGGTTTCCTTTTTGTGTATTTATTTTTGGAATAGACTCATAGACCAACACTAGAAATAGGTCTGAAACACATCTTGTTTTTTACTCCTAGGTTTGGCACATTCTCCTTTGTTGGCTGGACCATGCTGCATAGCAGCTAATATTGATTAGCATACATTTTTCTCAAATAAACTTTTCTCAGGCTGTGTAAAGTCAGAATGCTAGCAGTACCAAAAAAAAGTGCATTTAACTTACAAAGTGGTGGTAAGGAAAAAAGTAGGAGCAAACAATACATTGTCTGCTCTGCCAAGCCAACGTTGTGAGGCCCTGGACAAGCTGCTTCTCTCACTGGAGCCAGTTTTCTCATCAGTAAAATGGGCACAACAGTAATGCCCACCACCTACTTGTTAGATGAGATCATACATAAAACACAAACTAGAGCAAGCCCCTAGAAAGTACTCAGCAAATAAACCTATTTTTTACTTGCTTTCATGGAAATCTAAGGAATTAAAGTCAAAATAATGAAGGTAGGAGTAATGGAGGAAGTTCTACTTTTTCTTCTAAAGAACTAAAAACCATTTTGAAATCTTTAATTGCAAGATACTTTTTAGACTAAATCTCTGATCGTTATTTCCAGCATTTTGATTTTCCCTCCCACTATTGAATACAAGCTGACCCTTTTTGCTCCAGTGTCAGATTCAAGCTGAGCTCCACTGCACTTGATGTGTCCAGTGATTTTCATTTTTGTTACAACTGCATTTATTTTGTGAGATGTATCTTTGTGATCATAAGTGGTAGTACTTTGGTACTTAAACTCTCTAACACCTTAAATCAGGATAGGATCTAAAAGAAAATAGTGAAGTCACTCCACTGACCCAGCTTACTGAGATTTGGGCAGAGATGTTCTAGAAACTGGAACTGTGGCCTGGTGGCAACACCACTGACCTGTAGTTTTAGATGTTATTTATTAGCTCATTTAACATTATTCAAATCAGCACTGATATACTCTTGAATAATGTAGAAAATTGTGGGTGATTTGAACCTTGAACAAGGAGACAAGAAGACCTTCCTGTACTTGAATTAGAAAGTATGGCAGCTAACCAGAATTTCCTTGGCAAATCAGAGATTCAAGCTTTTATTAATAAGGATTTGAGAACAAAACAAAAATATGTAATTTCATGCAAATCACCTAGACTATGAGGTAGAAGGAATTTTCTTTACCATTTCTTTTTCATCTCTTTAACAACAAAAAAATGACTTCCCTTAAGTCATTCACCATTTAGATCTTAATTTTCAGGACAGATCTTGGTGATCATTTTCTGTGATTAATGGTGGAGAATGGTTTGCTGCTCTGAACAAGAGTCTGATGATGTTTATGGGGTGAACTCAAGCATGTAGAGAGTTTGTTGGACATATTTATAAGTATTATTTTGTCTGTGTGTTCCTCTGTGCTGTGTCTGGTGGCCACAAGGCTAGGAGAGTCCCTGAGAGTAGAGAGATGTCAGGACCCTGTGGACATCTGAATTTTACCAAGTGTCTAGGCTCGGAGGCCCAGAGACTGTGTAGCCCTGGACAGTTCACAAAGTCCATGGACAGCTGGAACCATACTTAACCCTCACACATGAGGATAAGGAAGTTAAGGTGCAGAAAGGTAAATGGCAAAGATGTGGCTTTATCCCAGGTCTTTGTTCCCAAATGCTACTGGTTCCACTAAAGCACAGCCAGTAGAAATATAGTCTTTACATTACTGTCTTTTCCCCTCAGTGTTACATGTCTAAGAATAATCCTGTATTTTGATCTTCAGCTGAGTTTCTTAACCCTGGTATGAAAGCTGTTTTTGCCACACCTGTAGAAAAAAAGCCTCTACCACCAAACTAATAGGTTTACATGGAGGTAGAAAATGTTATTCTACTGGATTATCTGGAGCTGGTCTTGTGGTCCTTTGGTCTGGAGGAGGGAAGCCAGACATCTGGTGGCTAGTGAAATCTGCTGAAGAACTAACCTGATCAAACATTTTATTTTAATGACAGAATCATGTCAATCCTGCCATGGACTTTACCCAGACTCCACCTGGAATGTTAGCCCTGGACAATATGCTGTACTTTGCCAAGCACCACCAGGATGCCTACATCCGGGTAAGCACGCTTCCCCTTCCAACTACTCTAAGTTTCCTACTGCATTTTAATTTCAGAATTACAGATATGGAGGGATTACCTTTAGAAAGTGGCCCCAGATTTTGGGCTTTCATCACTCATTAAGATAAAAATTTAAGTGAAATTAATCAGGGATACTGAAATATATTTTTAACTTAAAATTTTTCTTTCACCTGATGACATTTGAAGTAATACAATAGATACTGGAAAATATTTAATGTAGTTTAATATTGAATTATGACCAAAACTCTTAAAAGTCAAATAACAACAAGGAGGAGAAACAACTGCACAATCCCAACTCTTCAGTAGACCTCAGACTTACTCAACTTCTTGGAAAAGAGGCCCAGGATTCTCTCTGGCACAGCTTCTCTTCGATCTAATGTACTTCAGTCTAACTATACAATACAATAAATTAAAAAAAAAAGAATGGGAAAAGTCAGGGTGGGGGGAAGAGATGCCTTCTCTCATTTCGTAACAGACTAGTGACACTCCAACTACCAAGGTAGATTCCTCTGTGGGTGCAGCCGGAAGAGAAATGCCAGGTGCCACCTGCTGATGGGGCAGAGCAGGTGTGGGAAGGAACAGGTGGGATGGCGGCATAGGACCCCTGCCCTTCAGGGCTGCTCCCTTTGAGGCTCTGGGTGTGTGCTGCCATCTGTCCCCTGTCCTCCGGGAGAGGAATCCAGGTTCAGCTGGGATGAGGGATACCCATCCAAGGTTGAGATGGAGGAGGATATGAATAAGGGGGGCAAGGGAACTGAGAAGTGGTTAAAATGATGGCTAATGTCAGCTTAGAAAATATTTGACGAATGAATTGCCTAATGTATGAAGAGTAAGGCTGGTATTAAAATAGAGTAAAAGTCCGTTACTCTGACATTCTTTGTTGGGTCTCTCTTGGCACTGGCTTCCTGCGGCCTGGGTTTGAGAGCTGACACTGTTGCTATCTTGTGATGTAAGAGGGGGCGATCCCTTTTGTCAAGGTTGAAGTTTCTCCTCTAAACAAGGGAGCTGTATTCTCCCAGGCGCATCTGGGAACGTGCGGGTGTGTTTTTTTGGTAGTTACCATGCCCAGTGAAGTGCTATTGGCCAGAACCTGTAAGACCTGGGGCAGTCTGCCCAGTGAAAAAATTGTCCTATCCAGTAGTAGCCCCCTTAAAAAATGTCATGCTAGGTCTCTGAGTTCCCTTTAGGCACTATATGTGTTTTTCCATATATGCAATTTGACAAGCTTTGACTTATACTGAAATATTATTTATAATTTGATTATAGAAGTGATTTTATGCATTTCTCTGAAAGGTTTGGTATCAGGTGCTTGGTCAGAAATGCAGTCTTTCATAAGAAAATTGTTTTTCCATTAAAGTTTAATTTGGCTTGTATGTGTATATATTTATTGCACAGTTTTTTTTCTAGGAATGTAATCTGTTCTCACAGCAAGCAAATAAATCTTTTTGAGATACCATGTAGTATAGCCTTGGAGAGTTGAGTGTGAAAAGAAGAAACCAAATAGAATTTGAATTTAGCATTAACTGATAAATGTTTGTGGATGGATGTTCCTAAAATTAGAGCTTATTGATACTAAATGTATTATTAATTGCATAAGAAGCATATGTCTCATGAAAATTAATTTAGGGTTTTAAGCCCATTTCCCTCAACGTGTTCTCTAAACTGTTATACATGAAAGTGACACCATGGCAACCTGACAGAAGTCTATCTGATAGAGACTTATAAAAAGCCTATTGGTAAAGAAAATGTGGCCTTTTGGGTCCACATGCCCTTTTCTTTATTGGTTAGCAAGTCCTATAACTGAGATGCGTATTATTTTCTCAAAAGTGTTCCTTTCCTGATAGTTTCTGTGTCCCACCTGACTTTGGGGCATTCACCACTGGATGGAAAGCTAAACTTATTTACATGACTAGATGGGGTTAGGAGATCATCTATAAAGTCTGAGGTATTCCGCAGGAAGTGCTTTGATGGCTTTGAAAATATATCCCAGTAGTAGTGAAATAGTGATGTAGACAGTGAAAATAGTCACTCCAGATAGCTAATTAAATTTTGATCTATGAGCTGAGTGGTCTTCTCTGAAACATAAACATTAAATAAATTTACATTTTGATAAATTTCATTTTTTTCTTGACCAGACAGTGCTCCTGCCTGAATGTAATTATTTGTTATTTACATCTTTCATTCAATAAACACTTACTCTGTACCTGAATGTAGCCTCACCAATCACTTTGCCAGTCAGATTTATGATTGAGATTTTTAAGAGGAATTGTCTCACATGCAGACACACACAAATACACACACACACACACACACACACACACACACTATGCACACGCACACATTCTCCATCTTTAGTCTCGATACCCACCCCCTACAGCTGTCATGTTCCCTCAGATTCTGTGTATCTGTATTTTTCCAAGTTGTCTTCTTGCCCCATTTTCTAACTCCCCTGCCACTCCCTTTTCAAACCCCTGCACCAAGGCTTCCAGGCACTGCCTCTTCCATTGCCTTGGCCTTCTCGTGGACACCAGATGCTGCCTCTTATCCTGCCTGCAGCCCGTGCTGTCCATCTTTGTTCTTTCTTGGCCATTTCTCTTGGTCTGTCTGAAAGTTCTCTCTCCCTCTGCCTCCTCCTCCGATGTACATGAACACAAAGGCTCTGTCTGTGGGCCTTTCTTCCTCTCAGTCACCCAGATTGCACATGTCTACTGAGTATCAAATGCCCAGCAGTGAGCAGGGTGATGGGAGTTCTCCGAGGAACGCGTCACTCATGAGTCCTGTTGTTGACATTTTCTGTCTAAAGAGGGAAAGGAGGGGTGGAGGGGTAAAGCCAGGCACTTAGCAAGCTACTTAGAATGTATTTTGAGTGGACAGGAGGTATACTGGGGTCCCAGGAGAGTCACCAACACCGATGTGGGGGGCAGTCAGGAAAGCTCCCTGGAGGAGGTGTCCCTGCTGCGACCTGCTGGGTAGTGCTGGCTAACTGGGAAAAAGGAAAGGGGCATTGGGAGAGTCCCCACCTAGAGGGAAACATGAGACAAAGGTGTAAAGGTGTGCGCTGCATCCAGGGAACCCAAAATAGTATAGTATGGCTAAAATATATGGGGTGCGGTGACTGTGAGGCAAAGGCAGGCCAGTTCGTCAGGAAGCCATTAGACCACACGAAGACATCTGGTGGAACTTTAAACAAAAGGCAGCAAAGAATTTCTGAAGTGTCAGCTCTCAAACCCGGGCCCCAGTTAATTTTAGAAAATTCACTTTCCTGTGAGAAAACAAATGTGAGAAATAAACACCAGAGGCTAACATAAAATTTGGAAATTACAGAGAAATGGTGGTAACCTGAGCCAGGATGGTGGCACTAGCACTGGGGAGAAGCAATTTGAATGAGTTATTTTGGATGAATATAAACTGGACTCTCTCTGAGAAAGAGGGATCTCACCAGCTCGAGTGAACAGACAGATGGTGGTGTCATCAGTGAGCCAGGCAGTGTGGGCCTGTGAGGAGTAGTCATGTGGGGACAGCCAGACCCTGTGTGCATTGGGTCATCTATCCAGGTGAACATGTCTAGGAGGCAGTGAGACCCATACAGATACTGCATTCTGTGTATTCTACATCCTTAAACTTTCTCATTCCCACTAATCCATTCATCTACATTGTTGCATATTAATGGCCTCCCTACTAAAGTCTGGTATCTTCGAACCCACTTTTCATGCCAGCTCCTGGGACGATCTTTGTAACCAGGGTTTAGAACACTTTGTGGACCACCATTGGCCCACAAGCCTACTTCCTGTGGTACATGGCACATGGTGGGTTTTACTAATTTCTTGTTAATTGAGTAAAAGGTTTCTTTAGTTTTTATTTAAATGGTCTCTGGTCAACAACGATCAATTCATTTTTCTCATCTGAGGATCATGGCCTTCATTCCTCTTAACAATTACAGAAAGGTCTGTTTTTGTGATGTTAATTTATTGATGGGCAGCCTGGTTTCTCGTGTATTACTTGACTAAATTCTGTGACTATACTAAGGAAGGTGGTGGTACTAGACAGGCACACTTGGACAGGCACAGCACGTGAGGAGCAATTGCAAATCTGAGCATGCCACTGCGGAGGCATAGCATGATTTCAGACTTTGGGGTCTTATTTACTCTGGGCATAATTGCTTTTAGTTTTTCAGGAGATGCTTCACTTCCCAGCTCTCCCTGCAAGGCTCTCTCTGTGAGAGGTGGAGGGCGGCACCTGGCTCACTCTCATGATCCTGCTGTCATTATTTCACAGACAGGTTAACAGTACGGAGTTGAGCGTTTTGTTTGTTTTGTTTTTGCTTGCTGTTTTGATTTTGCTTTTTCTTTCCTCTCCCTGAAATGACAGTTCACAGTACCTTGGAAGCTTAGTATATCCATTGGAAATAAAGCCTTTGGACTTGGACCCTATGATCTTAGAACATATATTATTTGTATATTTAGTTAGTCATTGGAAAACTACTGAGAAACTCAAATGACTTGGTTTTCATTTAGTTCAAGATTCATGCTGGCTGTTGCAGGAGCCAGATTCAGCCACCAAACAGGAAGTAATGTAAAGAAAACCTCAGGCTCCCAAACAGGTCTAGAGTGGGAGCATAAAAGTAGTTAGGAAAAATGTTACAACTGAAAGAGAGAGTGGTTTCAGGATGAAGTGGTTAATTCTTCATGGTAACATTTACCATCCCCTGGATAACGTACGAGTCATACTCTATAGGTTAGTTCAGTCTTCAGGGAAAGCCTATGAGATCAGCATTGTTATCCCTTTTTTATAGATTTAAGAACTGGAACATAGGGAGGTGCAGAGAGTTTCCATTAAGTCAAATAGCCAGTAGACAAGCAGAACTTGAAATTAAATCATAGGCCTTCAAATCTCAGTCTCTTTCCTGTCTGCAGCACCCTGTCTCTGGGTTTGCAGTGTGATGGGCACAAGAGTGCTGACCTTCTTGACATGGAGAGGAA